GAGAGAGGATCGCTATTATTCCGGGAAAAATCATTTTGCACTTTTTCGCCGGAAAGTTTTCTGACGAAACTGAAAAGTGAAAACCTCCAATCAAAAGAATTAGTCAACAGATCATTAATCTATTCTCTCATACCGGAAAATATCCTTTTCTTCCCTTTGCTTCTGGACTTTTTCTTAGGTCTCTATCTCAAAGGTACTCTTCGATTCCTCTGATTCTTCTTCCTTTTTTTTTTTCTCTTTTTTTCTGATAAAAATTGTATTTTGATGATCGATTACGAAAACCCTTTTGTTCTGAAGCTAATCGATGAGCTCATTGGGGTTATATGGTTCATCGGATTGTTGCTTATGATCAGAATTGTAAAAAAAAAAAAAGAGTTTAGATTTTTGAAATCATATCGTTTTTAGATGTGTATTAGCTGATTCAATTTGTTCGTTTGGATTTATAAATGTAATTTTTTTTGTAATCTGTTTTCTCTTGCAGGTGATTCAAGTGTAGGAACAGAGAGTTGTTGCACCAAGAGAGAGAGAGAGGATTCTGGTTTACGGGAGCCATTGAAAATCTTCTGTGAAATTGGCTTCCTCTCTCATTATATAACTTACTTTCTGTGAATTTGAAAAAACTTGCAAGTTTGCTCCAGATTCTTGAGGTTTGAAGTAGTTGAACATGGGGGCCTTATGTTGTTGCTTTCAAGTTGATCTTTTTGAGAGTTATGTCAATCCAAACACTTCCATGACTAGGAACTGTCCATGCCTCAATTGCTTCCTCCAAAATTTCATGGGTTTGGTATGTATGTTCAAGTTTACATCTTTGTTTCTGTCTCATATTGAAAACTTTTTTGGGAGACACAACTTCGGATTTTGTTGAATACTTGCGTTATATCTCTCTTTTGCAGTATACTTCGTTGTTTAATAGAGGGGGAATGCATCCGATACCTTCAACCGTCGAGACTGCTACAGTGAGGACTTCCACAACTGCACTTGATGACTCTCTCTCTAGTGTGTATCATTCTCCTCCAAGACCGTTGCCTTACGATGCTGATCCTAGGTACTTTCGTTTTACTAAAGGTTCAAGCCATTCAGGTGAAGAAGCAGAACCGTTAAGAGGTGATACTGAAATGAGTTCTGAAGTTTCCGGTGGTGGAGCCAAACGGAATAAGTCTGATTGTGAAGATAGTTCGAACGAAGCATATTCAAAAGGTTCATCAACTATTGAAAATTCAAAGACAAAGCTGGGGATAGAAATGTATTATGCAGAATCGGATGATGAGGATATTTGTCCGACCTGCCTCGATGGTAAAACTAAAAAACCAGTTTGATGCATTTTTATTTTATTTTTGCTTATTCCAGCATGAGAAAGAGTGTTAGGTTGCTACTAGATTTCTATAAGTAGCTTTCTCTTGTTTACTGGTTTGAGTTTTCGTTTAATGCACTCCTGAGCAATAAGGCCATTGATAGTCTTAGTTCTTGGGATAGTTTACGTCAAATTTCCTCGAATGAAACTGTGTAATCTGAAGTAGAGGATTGATTAGGTTGCTTGTATTTTCATGTAGTTTAGGTTGAATTCGAAGAATTGAACTCATGATCGTGAGTAGTATTTGAGTTAATATTGGTTTTCAATAATCATTTGGTTTGCAATTTGCAGATTACACGCCGGAGAATCCAAAGATAATCACCAAGTGTTCTCACCATTTTCACCTTAGCTGTATTTATGAATGGATGGAGAGAAGTGAAACATGTCCCGTCTGTGGAAAGGTAACTCGTCGCTTTCTACTAACCTTCAAACATCGGATTTGTTCAAATGTTCCATCGATTTCATTCATAGATATTAAATTGCATCAAACTGTATAGAAATTTGCCATTAGTGATTTTTCTTTTTGGAGATAATGCAGTCTAGTTCTATCGATACACATCCTTATCCAATTTCCAATCTAATTTTTCAGGTGATGGCATTTGATGAAACTGGCTAAGGGAACAAAAAGACAATGAGTCATTGCATACTAAAATAATACAGAGAGAAATCACTTGTACATAAATCTTCTGTGAAATTGTGAATATCCAGATGCCTTAACAGTAAATATGAGAAAGTGTGATGTCTCTTAATTTTAGACTCATTATCTATACATTTATCTTCAATAAGATTATTGGGATGAGAAAAAAGGTTTTTAATCTTTCAATAATTTGTTATCTAGAACAGGATTTCTTATAGAACCCAAAAAATGATTTTTTGCATTTCTGAAATCAGAGCAAGAAGAGTAACTTCTCTGAATCATTAGACAAACCATCAAAGACCAAATCTGTGTTTATTATTACAGTAAAGTTCTTGAAAAGTCAGAACTCAAAAGCTCAAACAACAGAACAGCCATATAATCTCCATGGACATTAAGTTTCAACAACTCTTGAGTACATTGTTTTGTGTTTAAGCTGAAACCGCTTTAAATGCACTCTGGAATGTCTCGGGCGGTTGCGCACCGCTCAGTTTCACCTTCCCGTTGATCTGACCAAGCAATACAAAGTAAGAGACACAAGACTTAAGACCAAGGACACATTAAAAATGGCGGTCTGTTTCAGAGCTTTGCCATGTTCTTAAAGTGGTAATCACTCTGCAATGCATAAACTTACTGTGTAATGTGGAACACCGGTGATATTTCGCGAATACTTCTCCATCTCTTCTTGCACCTTCATCACATCAAGGATCAGAACAGATCATTCAATACTATCCTATAGAAGAAACTTTAATGATCACATAAACTCAGCAAAAACATACCTCGGTGACTCCATTGTTGGGATCTGTGAGGAATTCCTCTGCTCCTTCTATCCCAAGCTTTTTGGCCGTCTCAACCAAAAACTCCCTGAATTCATCGGCAAGCGTCATATGTTACCGAGTTTTTGTCCACTTTAACATATAAATCAAGAACTTATCACAAACACTAAATGGGTAACAACTGTTTATATACCTTTCACCGATGAACTTGCCCTGCGTAAAGTAACCGAGACACAATTCCTCAACAAGGCTATGTTGTTTATCTGGCGCATGTTTCCCGGTATAATGTATAAGTCTATGACTATCCAGAGTGTTGCCTCTGTTCATATCAATAAAACATTTAGAAGAAAAAACAAAAAAACAGAAGAAATCTCTCTTCTTGGTTAAAGAATGGTGCGCTTACGTGAGACCAGATGTGTCATACTCTAAACCAAGACCTTTGAATGTCTGTAATGAAACAAGATTATGTCAAGATTTCTCTAAACAAGAACATAATAAGCTCTCTTAAAAGAATCAGTAAAGTGAAAAAACCTCAGACATTCTGGTGAACAATCCTTCACATCTGCTTCCAAACTTTTTTCGATAAAACTCTTTCTTACTCACACCTTCTTTGGGTGCAGATGCATCAAGGAAAAACGGACGCCATCGAATCTACGCCATCGAATACCATAAGCAGCTCAATCATTCTCCAAGTAAACAATATAAAGAGAGTGAGAGTTAAAACCTCAAAGTTGTATTCATCTTTAGATGCATCAATAGCTTTGTCAAGATTCTTCTTGCCTACAAAGCACCATGGACACACAGTATCCGAGCTTACGTCGATTTGAATGAGTTTTTTCGAAGCGGTGTTGCTCGCATACTCAGCCATTTGGGAGATTTTTCTAACCATTTACAGTCATAACTTTGAATCAAATTTGAGAATTCTAACTCATAAACTGAACCAAACCAAGACAACAAAGGGCACATGGATCAAAATTCATATTATTCTGCCATCTTTAGTCACATCAACGGTTCATTTCAAAATTCTAGATTTGGATCAAAATTGAATTGACAATTCAAGAATCCACAAAAAAACTCATAAACTTAAGAAAAACAAGACAGAAACTTGATCTTCAATTTCAGAAAACAGAGTAAATGTTTAGGTTGGACTCTCCAAGATTTTTGGTTTGTAATTGGTTCATAGCAAAATTATTCTAAATTTGATTCATCTACCACCCAAAACTCTCTCTTAATCACACCTTTGATCAAACAAGAAATTGACTTTTAGGTTTTAAATGATCAGATTTGAGTATGTAAAGGAAAGACCAAATTGTACAAATCTGCATGCACATGTGACATTATGATATGATCTGAAGTATTTTCTGGGTTTACCTGGTAAAGGTTGGAGGAAGAAGATCGTGAAACTCTAATGGAGAGACAGGTCAGAAGAGTATATTATATAAATACATACAGAGATAAATCAACATTCACCAACCAAACCAATGTGAATTCCCAAACTTTTCAACATTTTTCTTGCGTCTCCTTTGACTAATAATCTGGATAAAATGAATTTAGAGATTATATAATTCGATTGTAGCTAGCAAGAAAATGGCCCATTAG